GACCTGGGTGAAAAGAGAGAGAGAAATAAAAGCGGTCAAAAAACAGAGACCATCTGGCCTGTCTAGGGTTAATTCTTTTGACCGTTTGTAAGTACTCCAAGTTCTTATGGTCCGTCCAGACCAAGAACGGCTGCTTGGCCCCCTCCAGCCAATGTCGCCACTCTTCCAGGGCTAACTTTATGGCCAGCAGCTCTCTGTTCCCGATGCTGTAGTTGCATTCTGTGCTGGAGAGGCATCTGGAAAAAAAAAGCACAAGGGTGTATTTTCCCATCCAGAATGGAATGCTGAGACAGCGCCGCCCCTACCCCAGAGTCCAAAGCATCGACCTCCATGATGAATTGTCTCTCGGGGTCAGGCAGGGTGAGGATAGGGGCTGAGCAGAAGCGCCGCTTAAGCTCAGAAAAAGCTTTGTCTGCCGAGGCATCCCAGGCGAACCGTCGTGTGGAGGAGGTGAGTCTGTGGAGTGGAGCTGCAACAGAACTGAAATCCTGAATGAATTTCCTGTAGAAGTTGGCAAACCCTAAAAACCGTTGAGTCTGTTGCCGGGAAGTGGGTGTGGGCCAGTCCATAACAGCCTGGACCTTGGCAGAGTCCATCTCAATGCAACCGGTGGAGAGTATGAACCCCAAGAATGACACAGTGGGAATGTGAAAACAACACTTTTCTGCCTTTACATAAAGGTTGTTCTGCAGTAAGCGTTGTAGTACAGCCCTGACATGGATTATATCTTTGGGCAATGACAAGGAAAAAATGAGGATATCATCCAGATACACGAAGACGTACCTATTGAGCATATCCCCCAGGATGTCATTGATCATGTTCTGGAAAACAGTGGGTGCGTTAGTGAGTCCAAATGGCATGAATAGATACTCATAATGACCAGACGGGGTGTTGAAAGCCGTTTTCCACTCATCCCCCTCCTTAATGCGCACCAGGTGGTAAGCGTTTCTGAGGTCGAGCTTGGTAAAAACCCATGCATCTTTGAGCAGTTCAAACGCAGAGGACATAAGTGGTAGGGGGTATCTGTTCTTAACCGTGATCTTATTCAACCCCCTGTAATCTATGCACGGTCTGAGCCCACCGTCATTCTTCCCAACAAAGAAAAACCCCACTCCCGCCGGGGAGGACGAGGGCCGAATCAACCCCCCGCCCTCTGTGCCTCCGTGATATAGTCTGTCATGGCTTTCTGCTCCGGGACCGACAACGAAAACAGACAGCCCTTAGGGGGCATAGTACCAGGTAGCAGTTCAATAGCACAGTCATATGGCCTGTGGGGAGGTAAAGCAGTGGCCCGTGTCTTGTTAAACACTTTATGCAAGTCCTGATATTCTGGTGGTACTTTCTGTAGATCTGGGATCTCTTCTGCTGCCACCATAGGCCCGTGCCGTTGTCTAACGGCAGATGCTAAGCAAGTCTCTGCACACCGAGTCTACCACCCGAGCACACGTCCCGTCCC